GAGAGAGAGAGAGAAGTGCAAATAAATTATAAAGAATTTAATATTATAATATTATTTTAATAAATTAACAAAAAAGTTTAAATACAAGGACTCCTCAATTTAAAAATAAGTTCAGATAATCAGGGCCGTAGGAGTCAAGCACAGAAGATAGAATGCGAATTGACTCCTACGGCCCTGATTATCTGAAACTTATTATTTTAATATTAATTTAATAATTGTGTGATATTATATGAAAAATATCTTCCGTGATTTCTCTGTCATTTATGCATAATTTAAAAAAATGTTTAATGAAATTTATCTTACGTTATATTTTCCAACTTTGTGATGTACATTTCTTATATTTACTTTTATCGCAAAATACATTAAGAACATAAAACTATTATATTTTTTGCAAAAAGCAAATTTTCTGTTTCTACTTTTGAAAATTTGTATGTATCTTAAATTTTATAATTTTTAATGTAAAAGTTATAAAAGTTGGTAAGTATAAAATATTAACTCTTTTGCATACGTTAACAAAAACTTATGAAAATTGGCTTTCTAAATGTAGAGAGTAGTATGCATTTATATACGGTTTTTGCCAAGTAAGATTATACAATTTCTTGATTAAAACAATATTCAAGAAGCGGCGAATGTTGAATTTAAACTACATAGCTCTATTTGCTTACTCACGTTTTGTATTAAGTTATCAGAGATAATCGTGTTTGTTCAAGCTTGAAACGCAATTCTGACAGTCTATGTTTTACATGATGGTTCTTTCGATAAAATAAACGCGAATTGAAATCTGTAATAGACAATATATTTTTTATTATAATAACTTTGTTATAGTATGGAACAAGCTTGTGTAGTTTTGTGTTGCATTTGGTTTAGGAATTTGTTAAAATTATATGTTATCTGTTAAAGTATTATTTTTTCTTAAAAGAATGAAAATCTGACAATATCTGGCTCACGATTTTTCATTATTTTATTTAATTATCTTCTATTTTCATTTATTTTCCACAACTTGCAAGTTTCCCGTTGACTCCCTTGTTTTCTTGCCACGTTTGTGCGTCTAATTAGAATTTTTCACGAAAAAGACTCCGAAACGTAGCGTAGATTTCACGATTTCAGTCATATTCAACATATATGTTGGGTTACTACGAATTTCGCGCGCCGATCGTAAATTTCGCGGTTTTCCCTAATCAGTGGAGTCTCATTCACAGCGTAATGGACCAGGATGGAGGAGAGAAGTGGCTAATGCGAGACTAAGCGGCAGTCTCTCCGGTCCTCGCACATGACGCTCGTAAATTTCGCGCCTCTGGTTTCCCTAATCAGAGAGATGCGAGATAGGGACAGGGACAGATAGCGTAGGAGAGAACGAATCTAGTGTACTTAATGCTTTCTTATTGGTGCAGGACGAGGCGAGCGAATGGCAGGCAGGCAAGCAGGCAAGCGGGCAAGCAGGCAAGCGGACGGGCAGGCAGGCAGGCAGGCAGGCAGGCAGGCAAAGCAGGCAGACAAGTAGGTGTACTTTCGTTCGCCAGCGATTCTTCTCAGCGTTATGCACGCGCGCACAAAGCCGTACGTCATGTCGAGCCGTTTAATGGCCTTTTAATACTACCTTACGAGCGGCGTGTTTCCCCACCCGCACAACTCTTTCTGCCACAGCCGGCTGGACGCTATCTTTGAATAAGGCGGCCGACGGCGTCGCGGAGACTCTCTCGCTGCGAGAGATTTCTCGGTTGCGTTTCTCTCACCGTCAGGCGCTCTTCGTCCTTCTCCGATGTAGCAATCGAAGATTCTTTAAGGGTCTGTGTCATCATGGTCGAGCCGTGGCTCGTAAGCCGGAGGCGAATTCCCCGATGGAGAGCGAGGCCGCGTGACTTTGATTCGTTTAACGGCCGGAGAGCAGATCTGTTCGTGATATTCTGTTCGATACCCACCAGCGGTTACGCGCTGCTGCTCGTATCTCCCCGCCGGATCTTCTTTGTTGCTCCGATCACGCACGGATGACTATACCCATGGATGTACCATGCGGGTGTGCTTACGACAAAATGGTTGAGATAGATAAGCCATGATCCTTAATGATCTTACGATAGCCAAGAGTCCAGCTGAGTGTCTGATAACTAGACACTTATCGTCTTATTACCGGCTATTATTACAATAGCATTTATGTTTATTGATTATAATTAATTGGTAACAATCTCTGGAGATTTGCGCTCTCAGATTTTGATCTGTTCTTTTCAATTGGACTTCTTGCACAGTTCATCTTTCTTCCTTTTCTCTCCATGTTGGAAACCTGCACGAAAACTGAAAAGAACAGATCTCATTGAAATATATTGATAAATCAGACATAGATAAAACATTGGATATTTTTTTAGCAGAAGATGGATATCAATATTCGATCTTTCTGAGCTATTACTATTGTACAATTGTTATTAGTTTTATTATATTATTGTTAATATATACTTTTTTTAAATGACATGATAGCATATAAAATTTCTACAACTTGTAAGAACTGTTTTTTCTGAACATCGGAAAATAAAGGATTCAGATTCTAAGTTGCATTCTTGAAAAGAGTAGTATAATGCCCGTCGGGAAGAATTGTGCATCGCATCTAGTAATCTGTTAGACAACCCCATTATTTGCTCGCTTACCCACTTGAGTTGCATTAGAGAGAATTTTCAGAGCTCCTCCATTATGCACGTACGTCCGCGAAAGAGTCGACTGCCGCATTTAACGTCGGAAGAAGTATTTCTTGCTCGTCGATAACACGAGGAGACAAGTCGATCCTTATGTCATTGGCTGAGAGATGTAGATTCTCGCCCTCGAGTCGCTCTCGCATAAACTGGTGCTCGTATAACGTAACGTTTTACGATATCGCAGGATACACATAAATAACAGTAAGTGCACGCGTGCTGGCCGGCGTTAAAGTAACGTAAAATTTTATCATTCGGATAGTAATACGTTTCTTCTCGTCGCACTCGCGCGCAATTTGAAGAACACTATATAATTTTCAGGGACGTTCGATCGTATACAAAGATTTCCTTACGTATGCGATACGACGATTTGCCGCAATCGTCGGCCCGATTACGATTTCAAGCGAAGCATTTACTGGCAAGGCACTTATTTCCCGCGTTATTTCAGCCTATCCTAGCGCCGCTGGTAATCATTAAAATGCATTCGCAGAAATTGCGTGATATTTTCGAATTTCTTCGTCTATTTTTCGTTAAAGTCGCCGGTATCACATCCCATAAATAATATTATATAATCGAGACAAGTTTATGATAATTTCTATTTTATTCTCTTCTATTTTATTCTCTAATATTTTTTTACAGAAACTTGCTACAGAAATGACAATATTTATTAGAAACCGGTGTTATTGCTTTTAATCGTCTCGATGGATTTTCTTCTTTTGATGACCTTCTTGCTACTGCATTTAATCAAAAATTTTAATTCTTCTATTATCACTTCTTTAAATGATACCTTGAAAGCAGAAACAGAATAATTTTTATAGCCTTTGAAATAATTGTGTAAAACAAATATAGAAGCTATAATCATTAATATATAATTACGTTATGTCTGATTGCAATGTCTCGAATGTTCCAAAGAAATGCCCATGCTGCAATAATCCAGGACAATGCAATGCCGGTTATCATAATTATAAATAGTCCCTTGACATCCTCATAACTTAATGGTTCCACTTGGACTTTTCCTTTTTCCTATAAAAGAAAAAAGAAAACATTCTGACAGATTTTCACAAATATTATTGACAAAATATTGTAGCTTTAGTAGTTATGTTAAAGTGTACGGAGGTTAAATATAAATTTTTATCTTAGAGTAATAATGTAAAATTTATTCGAAAAGATCTTTTCCTAAATCTAAGTAAAAGTAAGTGTACGCTTGAAGTAAATGTACGCTTCGGTTTTACTCTTACTCACTTACAAACCAAACAACACGTACAAGTACTTCTGAACCGCTACGTCGTCTCTACACGTACAGACTAAATCGGTAAAGTTTAAGCCAACTACATATTTTAAGTTCAACTATGTGGTTAAGTAACGATAGTCGTGAAATATTTTCCCCTTGCGTTTTATCTGTTTTTATGATGAAATAAAAGAGAGGGAAAGAAAGTATAAGGAGAAAGATAAGAACTGAAAAGAATAAATAAAGAAAAAACATAGATAAAAGTTAATTATTAAAATAAAAAGAATTTCAAAAATGAAAGAAAATTTATACGTAATTTTTTTGTAGATACAAAATATAATTGAAGAATCAGAGAATTAACCGAACTATGATGACTTTAATTCGTATAAATAAATCATGAAAACATGATTTTTATAATCAATTTAGTAATGATTATATTTAAGACAAAATAATATGTAACATCGTTAGAATTATTAATCAAAAATAAAATTTTCTGGTTTAGCTAAATTTTTAAATTGTGTCAAATTCATGCAAATGCAATTTGCATTCCAATTTTTTTATTTATGTAATAATCTACTCTATAAATGAGTTATTTTCATAAAGTGTTATAAAAGATTAATATATTGATGATCACGCATAATTATATTTATGTGTTAAAAATATGAATGTTTTGAAAATTGTACAACGTTCGATAAGTAATATTAGTCACAGCATAACGTGAGAACGTTAGAAATCTCGTACTTCGCACGTATCACCGCCTCGCTTCTGTCTCCACCATTTATCTTGCAGCTCGCCGATTCTGCCGTTTTCTTGCAGCCTTAATAAGGCACGGTTTAGCTCCGTACGGTAGGGCGCATCTGTCATCAGAAGACGATTATTTTGTTAAAATAGTTAAATTTTAGTCGTTTCATCAAATCTGAAATAATACAATAGTTGCATTTGTGTAAGGTATATCAAAGTAACTGAACAATGACAATAATAAAATTTATTTCAAGTTATCTTATTGCTTATAATGTAAATTACTATTAAACCACTAACTTTTTTTCATCGCTATTCCATAGCTTTTGGAATCTAAAAGTCCACCTATCTGCGTTACATTGCATTTTCTTTGCTTGATATATTCAATCGATGAAGATTCCATAAGAAATGCGTAATTTTCGTGCTGCGTTTTCCATACGCCCTTCTCGTTACTATCCATAAGCACTTCAGCTTTATGATCCATCATGTAATTATACATAATTCTATATGGTGGGTGTTGGGAATCCTGCAAGATAAGAATTAAATTCACTCGTATTCACAGATAATTCACAGGTATTTAAATAATAACGCGGAATTATATTAATATTATATTAATATATAGTATTCTATTAATTAATAATCATCAATTATCTTTATTTCTTGCTTTTACTTTCTTCGTGTCATTTACCCTAAAAAACGCAAGCGTCGAACCACCTTCTTTTGCACCATATTTGATTTTCTGTTGGAAAGCCAATTCTTCTACTATTTTAAAGGACCATACAACAGATTTTGTGGACAATGCGGCTGCTAAATTAGCGACATACGTTGCTCCCATAAGAAGAGCGAAAAACCACCATGCAACAGCTAAACTTCTTGTTGAAATTCCTCTGAAATACAAATCACATTTTTTTTAATTTATTCTTGAAAGAAGATTGCAAGAAAGAGCATGATTTTATTTATAACAAAATATTATTAGAATATTAAACTGCATGAAATAGAATGTTAACTGCACAAAATAGATTACTTTCCAAATATGCTGTTTAGATTTTGTTATGCTTTGACTCGATTCCAGGATATTTTCTTATAAAGATTGCTTATAAAATAATTTGATTTATTTAAATAAATTAAAATTAAAGATAGTAGATGTATGAGTAGATCATACTTATCAATTATGAACACCACAGACGATTGTAATACATGCATTATAATACATGCCTGATAGCGACATAAAACTTCACTGTACGCTCAACAACTTGTTTGGTTTTATGCAAGAAAAATATCCTTAAACCACACTCTGCAAATGTTGGCAAGCTAAAGTGGGCATCGACTCACGCTGGTGCAAATCCGGTAGCAGCCTTTAGTACAGCTCCGATCACGAGGAATGGAGTGTCCAAGAGAGTGAAGGGTGTTTCCAATACCTCCGGTTCCTTGATGCACGGATACGGATTCGTCCATTCTACGGGGCAGAATTTTCCAATGACGAATAACAACGATGAGACGACGACATATGCTCCGATCAGATGCAGCCAAACATCAGTCGAAAACGGTCCGAGAAAGGATAACAAACCTGGAGCAGCACTTGTTGGTTTCCTGTAGAGAACACTTATACCTGAAATATTATTTGATTCAAGCATAAATGGATTCAATTTTGATTTATATTTATTGGTAGTATCATATTTTACCTAAGTTCATAAACGGAGTCGTAAAATCTACTGCGGTTTCTCTCTCCGCTGTAATAGTCAGGTCCGTAATTGCTAAATCTGCTTCCTTCAAAATCAAGCGAAAAAAAAATTGAACATGTTATATAAATCTCTGCAACAGATGTCGAGCATGAGATAAATTGTCAATTTATTCATCTATCATGTCATACAGTTTTTTTATTAATAATATTTTTATTAAATTATTAGATTATAAAACAGAGAAAAAAGGGTGAAAAAAATTTTTTATAATATTAAATTACAATTAATTTCATATTAGTGTTAAACTTGAATTTTAAAAAAATGTTCGGAAATCATCAGATTCTACCAAACTGTGTGAAGAGGCAACTGTTTTATCGATAAGAAGCTATATAACGTGTTGCTCTCGCATTGTGTATACGATGGAAGGTAGCAGCACTACTCGCGAACGAAGTCGATTGAGTCATATTCCGTTTATATGGCACGGAATTAAAGCGCGAAAGAATATCTTATTAACTTACATCGGCGATTATTTTTCCTAGCATTCCGTTCCATTTCTGAGTTACGTTATTAAATGATCCGTAAGCGTTGTCGGTCTGAACTTCAAAAGTATAATTAAATCCTAGTATGTTGCTCATTTCGTAAATAATATCTATTCCAAAGCCTTCATAACGATCATTTCCAGTCATTATAGAAGATGATTCTTTAAGCATCCCATACGGATCTGTCTGGAATTTA